AGGAGCTCATCTTCTCCAACCCATCCCACTACCTTGGAATGCTTTTGTATACATCTTAGAAGGTGAGGGAGTGTTTGGCAACTCAAAATCTTTGCCAATCACAGCCCACCATATTCTACTTCTAGGCTCTGGTGATGGCTTGGAGGCATGTAACAAGTCTTCCAAGGCTCTAAGGTTCATTTTAGTTGCAGGTCAACCGTTGGGTGAACCAGTCGTACAATTCGGGCCTTTTGTGATGAATAGTCAAGAGGAGATTGACCAAACTGTTGAAGATTTTGAGAATTACACTAATGGGTTTGAGAAAGCAAGGCAATGGAGATCTGAAACCACCCTTGATCTTGATTTTTAGTACATTTCTTTTTATCTACAAAAGTTATTATTTTATTTAAATTAAAGGGCGTATTCGGCAGCATTGTAGAATTTGGGAATTGTTAGATGTATGCAACTTTACCTTACCAGCAGTGAGGCTATTTTCGCATTTAAATTAAGAAAAAAAAATGTATTATGTCTCATGATGTAGTTTATGTACACTTATCAAATGATTATTATCATGGTTTAGGCATGTTGCCATGTCCTGTGGATAAAGTTGTGTAACTGTGAAAAAGTTCAATATGAGCCTTGATTGCAACTCTCGTCTATTATACTAAAGAAATTCATAGCTGCAAAATAGTTTTTTTTTTTTTATTAAATCTCAAAATATTATATTATTGATTGAATAATTTGTAGTTCATAGGGCTGACCCAAGAATATTTGCGGCCCAACGCAAAAATTGTAGATGAGGTCCTAAATTATTTTTAGATGAATAATTTATTTATTTTTATTTTTAAATTTTAAATATTTAATTTTATATCTTTTAGTAAGTATATTTAAAGTGAAAAATAACATGAAAAACAAATGCATTATGTAACTAACTGATTATATTATATTAAAATTAACTTAACTTAGAAATTATAGATCAAGAAAATAAAATTGAATAAATAAGTTAGAGTTGTTATAAATTTAGATAAAATAAGAGCGTATAGTCTTATAATTTTGTGTGCAAAAATATAATGCGGTAATTTTTTTTTTTTGAATGTATATATATTTATGATTTGAAGAAAAATATTTTTGATCATTTTACGAAACATCCAAATTTTTTTTATAAAATTTATTCCTATAATTTTATAAGACATCTGCAAATGGGCCCTAGGCCACCACTTCACTTGCCTAGGGGTGGAGTTATATATGGTCAAATCCTAATTGTTCTCGTAATGGAAAGAAAATATATAATTATATGAATTTTGCCAAAAATAAAAAATTATAATTGACTAATTTATACAAATGCATGTGCTGTCTGATTTATTTCTAATTTATGAATTCTTTTTTAAAATGAAAAAAAATGAGAATTTGAAAGACTAAAAGATGAAACTTTTCTCCAAATTAAAGGAGTTTATGACAAAGTGACGAGTCTTGATTGTTGGTTCGACTCGGATCAAATGTTATTTGTCACGCTTAATTCTAAGTCTAACTCTTTCTACTTCAACTATCACTTTTAAATTTTTCGTTACGCTTTGAATACACGACAAATAATTTATTAATATCTGTTCTACATCACTTTTCTTAAAATTGAGAACCTTTCGATTCACATATATTTTGAACTCGTAATTATAATGTAAAGTCAAGATACACACAACCACTTATCAAACGCATCGAGTCTTCCAAGATTCTCTCATAAAACTCAATTTTTTTTTTAGGTCATTCATAATACTCAAACATGAAACATGAAATAGTATTACTCGTATATAAATTTTTTTTTATCCCAGTTACCTCAACGGATTTTAATAATAGACGTTTGAGGGTGAAGATGGCGGGTATGGTTGTGTTGAAGATAAATTGATATGATAGGACATGAGAAGACGATTATGAAATCTTATTCATCGATTATAGTGTTTATTATATGTTAATCAATTTTTAATTATTTCACTATGTATTCCTCTTTAATTTTAGTTTAACAGTTTTATTGTACTAATATCTCGGTCATAATACATATGAGTGGAGGAAGTAATCTGCGAGCTGGAGGGAGGGAGAAAGACATGTTTTTAGTATCCCCAATACTCAAAGCTTAAATACATGGTATGAAGGGTATTGTTTTCCTTTAAATAACTACATTTTGGAACGAAATATCATTTTTCTATGCTCAATCGTCTATTTAGAGTATGAGGATCACGATCTGTTTATTTGGACGAAAAAGGTATCGAGAACAAATAAATCCAAAAACGTGAAACGTCTATTATAAAAACACAAGTGAGTAAAGTGCAACTGTTTCAAAACCACACGAGGGGAAAAAAAAATTTTTCCTATTATTTTTATAGAAAATGAATTTGGTCAAGTAAATTGCATATTATTCTGGTTATATGGATTGCCTATTGCCTCGAGCAAGGCCTTGTTATGCTCGAATGTGGAAACAACTTAGTAGGTTTGGGGTTCAACTTAGTAAGTATGGCACGCACAAATTGAAACGAGTGAGATGCATCCTATTGTCACTAAATCATCCAGTTTCTTTCACAACTATTTGTTTTTATGAGTAATATTATTGAGAGAACTTAATTATTGTAATTATTAAATTGTTAGTGAGTTTTATCATTGAATACACTCTCCATTATTAATTTAATAAATTTTCCAAATTATATCTCAATAAATTTAAAAAGCACAAACACAAATATGAAATATAGATACGATACAATAAAACTTGAAACAATAGGATTCACCAGGTATGACTATGATATGTTTATAATAAAATATATTATATAATTTTTTACTATTATTTAACGACTTAAAAATTATAATTTTTAATAGTTACTTCACAATAGTAAGCAAAATTATACAATTTTTACTTTGAAAAATGGGTAATATCGTGTCATTATGATCCATAAAGTGAACATGATCGATCAAAAGAATCAAAACCAATATTTAACTAATTGGTTTGTTTACAAGTATTATTTTCTAAAATTATAGTGTAATTAATTCATTTTTTTTCATACTTTTTTGATATTTAATAATAGAAAATATTTAAAAAATACTCGTGCCTCCACAATCAAATGGAATTTTGTTGATATATTCTATTATATGTGAAATCAAAATGAGAGGGTATAAATTAAAATTAAGAATTACACATCTTGCTCCATGTATAGAAATATATTCAAAATATTTACATATTTTATTAATTATTAAATGCGTACATTATGTATCTGATACATATCGTTGAGTATCCAATAAATATTATATCCGATACGATATCTGATTCGGATATGTCGACCTTAACGAAATATCCGTACTTAATTGCCAATAACATAAGTGTATTTTTAGAGGTTTTTTAAAATCAAACCACTTTCTACAACTTATTTAGCTTTAAGTATAAACTTAAAATTTTTTTGATAAAAAACACTTTAGAGCATAAGAACCGAAATACTTCTAACATCTCAGTTACTATTGAAAAAACTACATAAAAAATCGATTAATTTAAAAACTTAAACTCTTAAATTTTATATTTTTTTATATTATATGTAATAAAATAGCTTATAATTCAAATTTCAAAAGATAAACAAAATGACTTTTGTTATTCGCGGTTGAGATCGCTTTAAATTTTACTTTAAAGTTAATCTAACGACTAATATTAACACCCTAAATTTAATATTAACACTACTGCTATCGTCATTGTCGCTGTCGCCACTATCGCCGCCACTATCAACGACGTCGCTGCCACCACCACTACGGACATTATCATCCATCACAACCATAATTGTCTCCTATCACAACTATTGTTGCCCACCACCTCTTACCCCCACTATAAATTGATGCTTCAATTTCTTTATCTCTTTTTTATGTTTGTGATTTAATTTTAAATATGAATACAAATATATTTATTATTTATTATTTTGTACCTTTAAACACAAACAATAACTAGTTTTCTTATATTAAAACAGTTCTATCTCTCTGTCTCATATATAAAGTCCTCTGCGCCGCAATAACTAGTTTTCTTATATTAAAAAACTTCTATCTCTCTGTCTCATATATAAAGTCCTCTGGGCCGCAATGCAAGTGCTGATCCAAAAGTCAGCCATGGGTCAATCTAGCCTGTGCTGGCAATTAGCCCGATGAGTAGGATCATGGACCTTTTTTGCAAGATGAATAGACCTGACGCAAGAGGATGGCCCAGTTCATAGGTAACTGAAACTAAAAAATTAAGAAAATATGTCAAATTTGAAAAAACATAATTAAAATTTTTTGTCACTGTATTAACTAATTGAAGGACGCGTGAATTATTTTTATATTTAAAACTATATACATGAGTACATTGAAAAAATATACTATAATAGTGTTAGTCATTGCCTTAATTTTTTTTAAATATTATCTATGTATATTTAAAATTATTATAAATATATTTAAGTGTATCCATTCTATTATTTTTTATTCTATCAATTAGTATAGTCATATAATTAAATAATTATGAATTTTTGGACACATTTTGAACACTTTTTATGAATACATCTAGATAAATTTTTGACATGTCAAAATCATTTTTAAAATTATAGATATTATGAAAACTAGGTTAAATAACACAATGAGTAATTAATAACTAATAGCTTGATTAGTTATATAGAAAAATACTATAATATTTTTTATAGAGTTAGTCACATTTGTTATAAAGGATTGTAATTAGTCTTTTTTTTTATTTGTATACACTATATTTATAGGTGTTTTTGATAATTTTTATATTTTTTTGAATCTTTAATTATCAAATAAAATGTCATAAATTTAAATATATTATTTTATTTTTATTGATCAGTGGAAAAAATTTAAAGGTTGTTAGTGAAATGTGCAACCTAAACAGAATTTTTGGCTTCGTTGCTACCAAAACTACGTGGCAGAATTTTATTGGGTATACACATCACATGGGCTTGGTCACGTGGTGTGTGCAACTCGTGCAAAAATTTCTCGCAGGTACAGAAGAAACCTGAACGAACGCTCCGAAAAAGAATAGAGAGAGAAAGCTACAGACAGACAGAGAGGGGGGGGAAGAACATGAACAGAAAAAACCTCAAAATCCTCGTCTCTCTCTTCGCACTCAACTCAATCTCTCTCTACCTCTACTTCTCTTCTCACCCCGACCACTTCCGTCACAAATCTCGATCGGAAAACTACCACTCGTTGACGCAAAACCACTCCTCCCACTTCCAGTTTTCCGTTACCTCACACGTCAAGCCATGGCCAATCTTACCTTCATATCTTCCCTGGTCCCAAAACCTCAACGTCCCCTTCAGATCATGCGAAGGTTATTTCGGAAACGGCTTCACTCGCCGCATCGATGTTCTTAAATCCACTTCGCCGGAGATGCGCCGGAAATATGGCTCCTCCGCCGTCCATGGACGATCCGGTGGTGGAGGATGGTTTAGGTGTTTGTATAGTGAGACGTTGCGGAGTTCGATATGTGAAGGAGGTAGAATTCGGATGAATCTGGAGAAGATTCGGATGTCGAAAGGAGGAGAGAGATTGGAGACGGTGATCGGGAGAGGAGAGGATGAGGAATTGCCGGAGTTTGAATTTGGAGCTTTCGATGTTGAAGTTCTTGATAGATCCAGTCGCGGAAAGAAGCTTGCGAGTGGAGAATTCCTTGATCAGTATGTGCAAAATGGTGCGATTGAGAGGCACACTATGCGTGGGTTAATCGATTCGATTCGGCTAGTTGGCGCCAGTGAGTTTCAATGCTCGGAGGTTAGGTTTGCTTTGATTGTGTAAAGTTGTGAACTTTTTGATTTTGTGTTGACTTGGTGTTTAATTTAATGCTTTCTTATGATTAGGGTTTAGGGATATGGAATGCATTAATTTCTTATCATTGGGGGAGCAATTAATGGAAATATGATTGCTTTTAATGAAGTGAATGGTCGTAGTACTTTTATGGAAGGAAAGGTGATGTCCTGATATGGGGAGTGTTTTGGATTGATTTGATGAAATTAATCCTGAATCTATGGAATTTAATACAAGTGGCTTCTAGTGGTCACCTATTAGAATCTGTGGTGGTTATGGCCAAACAAATTATATAGTTTGGATATGATAATCTGTTAGTCAATATTGTTTGGCACTTCTTAATTTATGAACCCGATTATGGTGGAGAATTTGGCTGCTATTGATGCTTGCATGGAATTAAACTCTTCCCTTTTATGGTCCTGGATAAAGTGGTGCAGATTTAAGAGTATATGCATGGAAAGATTTTGACAACTAGAGACCCCAGTTATAAGTTCCGATTCTTAAGGTAGTTTCAAAATAATAAATGTTGATGTCCTGATAGGGAAACTATTCAGTTAAATGGTATCATAGAAGGCAGTTATCGTAGAAATCAATCAATTGTCAATTATGATATAAGAGGGATTGGCATACATGTTGTAGTGATGCTGTCCTTATTACAAAATTTTCTGTCGCAATGGATAGATTGGAGTCCCTATGATTAGATTCATTGACGTGAGCTAAACTGCAAGTTAAGGGGCCTTCATGAGCAAGTTGATTGACCTCCCAGGATTTGGATGAGTAAATGGATTATCTTTCTTCCCAAGCTTAGTGATGGAATTACAACCTTGATTTGAGAATTATTAGTGGGGTTGGGATAGTGGTTTGTAATTGTGGAAGTGATGATGAACCTTCTGCACTTCCACAGGAAGAAGGAAAAAACTGTGACTTATCTAACTTGAAGCATATTGTAAATGCATAAAAAAATTTTTAGTGAGAAATCAAGCAATGAATGCCAGTAATACATATGAAGGATCTTACTAAAATTCCTTGAGAATGGAATAAGTGATCAGCAAACATGCAGGGACACAAACAGTGATCTGGGATTTTATTACTGGTTATAGTGTAACGAGCAGATTTCATTGTGTTTTAATATTCACAGAATATGACTCTTTTTTAATGTAGTGTCTGGGAGGGTTTTTGTTTCGCATCAATCATGTCACTCTTGAATCAACTCTTTCGGATGATCATCTGGACCATTGTGTTGGGAAATGAGCTATGCATGTCCTTTCTCATTGCATGCATCTCTTCTGATTATGATATTTATGATTTTCTCTTATATTGTTTACTCATAAAAATTAGGGAAATAAAAAATCTCTTTTTACTGCCCTTTGCATTTCTGACAAACACCTCTCATTACAGTGGGTCGAGGAGCCAACACTTTTAATTACACGCTATGAGTATGCGAACCTTTTTCACACGGTTACTGATTGGTACAGTGCATACGTGGCTTCTAGAGTTACTGGCTTGCCTAATCGGCCTCGTTTGGTTTTTGTAGATGGTCATTGTGAGGTAAGTGTGTTCAGATTTTTCATTTTAAAGCCTGGCCTTATCTCAACTATTGATAAAAATATTTGAATCGTCATTTGGTGATGCGGGCATCCTGTTTTCTTTTCTGATTTGGGTTTAGTAGGTGATGTACAATTCATGCTTAAGTGACCCTTGCTGCTGCAGTAATGCATTGAACATGCTTGATGCTTGACTTGCACCATCTTCTTCCTCGTCCGCTCATTTCAATTTTTATGTTCACTCTTACTGAGTTATGGTTGATAAAAAATTGCTATTGCTATGTCAAAGAAAATCATGTCATTCATTGATATGTCAAAGAAAATCATGTCATTCATTAATATGTCAAAGAAAATCATGTCATTCTTAGTGTTCAAGGGAACCTGAACTTAGATTCTAAAATTTAATATGTCAACATTTTGTAATGATCGTGATTGCTTAGACATTCCAATATGCTGCCATCCAATGTAGTTATTTATGGATTTTTTTTAAAGCTATTACACACAATGCAAAATGCATTTCCTTTTATAGGTTCCTTGTTAGGTCAATTGGAACATTAGTTCCTTCTGCATTGAAGTTACCATTGGTGATCTATCTTATCTTTCTGTGGCAAAAAATTTCAGACGCCTTTGGAAGAAACATGGAAGGCATTGTTTTCGAGCCTCACATATGCTAAAAACTTCAGCGGTTCAGTATGCTTTCGCCACGCCATCCTCTCACCTTTAGGATATGAAACTCCTCTATTTAAGGGTCTGTCTGAAAACATAAATTGTCATGGAGCATTTGCACATGACTTGTGGCAAAACCCTGATGATCAGAAAACTGCACGACTGTCGGAGTTTGGAGAGATGATTAGAGCAGCTTTTGGGTTTCCTGTAAATCGGCACCGTACCCCAAAACTGGTCTCAGGACACAATGTCCTATTTGTTCGACGCGAGGATTATTTAGCTCATCCACGACATGGTGGTCAGGTCCAATCAAGGCTTAGCAATGAACAACAAGTGTTTGATTCTATAAAGAGCTGGGCATCAAGTCATTTGGAATGCAAAGTGAATGTTATTAATGGACTATTTGCACACATGCCCATGAAAGAGCAGGTTCGAGCCATTCAAGATGCTTCCGTCATTGTTGGAGCCCATGGGGCTGGTCTCACTCACATAGTTTCTGCCACAGCAAAAACAGTGGTTCTTGAGATCATTAGCAGCGAATACAGACGCCCGCACTTTGCATTGATTGCTCAGTGGAAAGGGTTGGAGTATCATGCCATAAATTTGGATGGCTCTTATGCTAATCCACCCATGGTTATCAACAAGCTTAGCAGCATCTTAAAGAGTCTTGGGTGCTGAAATTATTGAATGTTGGGTTTTCCTCGTTTACTCCTGATTGCTGGAAATTAGAAAGATGACTGTTTATCGTCCCAAAGTACCTATGGGAACATGTTCAAGCTTTAAATCCCATGGTTAACCTGTGACTGCTGTTTTTCACATTTTTGTTAGATTCAAATTGAGGTTCGAGCAAGGGACTAATTTTCAGAGTTTAGGCTATTGATAGTTAGTCAAGGGATGGCGGATTAAGGCAGTTGCACTCGTTAATATAGGGCTCGGTCACGAGGGATTGGCAGCAAAAGAGATAGGCAATGATGCAGTTCTGGGAGTAGATTTCAAGTGATTGGTGGATAGATGAAGACATTGTGGTTGTTTAGTGCTTGACAGTATTTCTGCTACAGTTTTTGTGAACTTTTGTGACATTCAGGGTTGACTGGACACAGGTCTCTTGATTTTGCTCACCAACTGGTAATTTCTCCTCTTACACGAACAGTATACCCGTTGTCAATACACATTCTTTATTTGCAGAGGCTACTCTTTAGAATATAGCAGAGTTGATCTGTCCATTTATTCAAAATTTCAAAGGAAAATGAATCTACATCCTCCAGTAAATGCAACTCAACAAACTCTTCAAATTCTTTTTTGGCTCTCTCTATTGATGTTTTCAATATAGTAAATCCTTTAATGTCCCTTTTTTGGTCTTCCGTAAACCTGCTTCAAAATCATTTTTTTTTTTTGGTTTTCTTTTCCCTCCTTTGCTTTTGAAAGATTTGAGAGAGTGAGAGAGAGAGAGGATTGGCCCGTTGGTCACATATTGTTTGTTCTTGAGGCTCTGATTAATGGGATTGGTTTTCTTTTAATTGAATATCTGTATTTTTCTTTTTCCATGATGTATGTCTAGATACGCCCGATGTTAAAATGTCATAGAAATGAAAGTACAAGGGGTCCCTGCTATTCCTCTTGTCTCTATCAAGTGGTAGCGCAATTCTTAGATTGTATCTCTCTGATACTGCATGTTACTCCGCACAAATGCTGCAAATCACACAACAAAACTATGATATGGAGCGTGGCTAGACCATGCACAATGGTCAAGGATGATGCTTCCGCTGTGGCGTTGGCAATGGACAATGGACAATGAACTGGCTGCTAGCCAAGAGATGCAGGTTGTCACAGTTAACCAGGACCATCATGGAGCTGCATGATTTCTCTGTCAGCCTTTTTGTTTCGCTTCTCCTTTTGTTTAAGGTTGATTATAATTAGACCAAAATGAGCCTAAACAGAGATGAGATATCCTGGTCGGATTTCTATATGCACCATTAAGACCTCAAAGTAGATAAGTTTTGACATTGTAGCATCATATGTTGGAAGATCAAGTACTACCCACAGCACATATAAGGACAGACCGCAAATGTTACTAGCAAGAGAGGGATCCCCGATAGGCAATAATATTACACACCTCGCACGATATAATGATCTTTTTAAGAACATATCCTTCACAAGGTCAGTGTAAGTTGAACTTCTATCACGTTAAACAATAGAAATTTATTTATACTGTCCCTTCTTCACCATTGGCACTCAACCACAAATGACCCATCAGACACAAACTAATCCATCTCAACATGGGAAATCAGCTAAGGCCAGTGACACCCAAATTTCCAGACAATAGTGCACACAAATATAAATGGAGCTAAGTTTGTCTCATCAACCATAAAACACATTGATAAACACAAAGTGATGCTAAGAGTCTCAAACACTTGAACCAATCTTTAGTTCCATGCCTTTCTAATAGGAGTTTCAACAGGCCCACTGGCCCGTGGGGGTTAAGTAATTCTAATTTCAAACACACTAAGTTTAGGTAACAAAATTTAAGCAGTACCACTGGCACCCTTTCCTTTCTTCCTCTGGAGTTTCTTCATATAGAACTCCAACTCTTTGCCCTCCAAAATATATCTGTCAAAATAAAGTTGTGAACCAGATTAAGTTATAGAATAAACAGCCAACATACATAACGAATAAAAGTATATTATTGCTGAATGAAAATCATTATTCAAAAGGTTTCAACACAAACAGGAAGAGTTGAAATCACAAAACATAAGGTTCTACCATCCAGCTTCAAAGCTGATTAAAATCAAAATATAGCAATGGGAATCAACCAAACGGTGAACAGAATATATAATCCGCAAAAGGATAAGCATACCCAGAACATCCCTCTTGCAGCCAGAGGCAAGCTAATAATACCATGTACTAAGGTTTATCAATAGCTCAACAAATAATAATAAGAATAATAATAAGTCTAGTAGAAAAAAAGTATGAAGATGACTAGAGAAGACGTAGGAAATTGGACAATACAGGGACGGCACATAAACATTTATGTCAAACATACCCTTCAGAAAGTCTTATCCTGACTGTAATGATGGTGCATACATTGTCCGTCCTTATTGAAAACTAGAGTGCTAACAAGCAATCAAATTAAAGTGTTAACGCACACTATATTAGAATCTCAGTAAATTAATCTTTTGTTGTGTTAATTACGTTAATGGTATAGGATTGCCACAAGAATCAACATATATTTTTGCAACCCATAAGAAACCCCAGAACAGTAACAGAAAACATACCCATCTGCACGACCACACTGGCCAGGTCGTGAAGAGATTGCAGCTAGCAAGCGGCCACTACCAAATTGCTCTTCAACATGTGGGCCAAGCTTGCGATCCTGTTGACGTTTCTCCAGTTTTCGCAAGACGTGATTGCTCTTCTTTGTCTCCTCAGCAGCAGCTTCACCCTCCTATGAACCAAACAGACAGCAACCAGTAAAGATGTAGAAGATCTATCACTGACAGTTGTTAGATAACAAAAACAAAAAATATATAATACACATACAACTGGAATTTCATATGCTTCATTGTTATTATTTTAATCCATACACAAGGTTTTTTTAGTAATTATTTGATATTTGAGGATGAATTACATATGTTGACAATTCAGTGCTGCTTCGTGTCTACATTAGGTTCCACATTGCCATTAACTAAATGGTTGTCACATGAATTAGCATTAGCGATGATG